AGAGCTCACTTCAGGGTCCAGTTTTAAGAGGGGTACAGTGATAACACTACATGGGTTGCCCATTGTGCAGCTGATGTTTCTATTCAAGTTAGCCAAGCCCTCAGAGTTGTCCTTATTCGAACTTCGAACTTATTAGAACAGGTTGATATGCCTCTGCATGAATGGTTGGGCAGAGGAGCTGGGCTGGAGAAAAACAGGAGCATCTCTATTTGGAGCACTGTCCCTGAAACAGACCGTCCTCCGTGCTCACCTCTAGCAAATACTCAGGTGCTTTGGAACAAAGTGTGTCTTTGTGCTAAGTCTCAGTGGAAGTAGGTTTGCCAGGTTATCAGTGGGTTCTGCATCCCACACCAATGTAGGAAAATAAATTGCTTCTGCATGCTTCCTATGCGTGTTGAACTAATACAATAGTTCCTTATTCCAACCATGAGAAAAGGAGCCTGCTCACCTAAGAGGAGGCATCATTTACTTCCTCCTTTCTACACTATATGGTAGGCTCCATCTAACTCTCACCTGAGAATAATTTTGCTTTCTCTTATGAGAGTTTTGCTTTGCTGACTGAGGTCAAAACTGTATCTGGCCCCATGACTTGGGACCAAACAAGCTTCTAGAAGAACCAAGGCTGAGGAGACATGGTGTAAAGCAATGTCCAAGCTAGGCAACAACTCCTTGAAACTGCTGATAATCTTACTGCTGCCCTAAACTGGGAACAGAGGGACTGGGAAAACTGTTGGTGCTACCCTTCCCTGTGGTTAGCCCAGTTCACTGACTGCCAGCAAGAAGTGCTGTTTGGCCAGTACTCTCCCCCTTTCCCTTACCAGCCCTCCCCTACCTATAACAAATATTACCTCTGTGTTTTGCTAACTGGAGAAGCTGTCAGGCAGTAGGCCCTATCCTGGCCGTTCTGTCTCAGCAATGGCTTTTCCACCCCATTAGCATTCTATACTTTGTCCTAACTCTCATTCTAAATAATTGTACCCTTGGAAATAAGGAACCCCTTGCTATGTGAGTTCATCTCCATTCTGGCAAGAGAAAAACAAGTGGACATTGCAGGGAGTTGCTCCCTGTAGTAAGAACTAAAAGAACAAGCCTATATATTTTCAAAACTGGTCTCTACAGAAGAGACAGGATTGAACCTCATTTCTAAATCCCAGACAGAGGGTTGAGGTCATTCTTGTATCTCCTCTCCATTCTGAAGCATTTGGCATCCAAAGCTGAATTCCCTCCTTATGGAATCCTTTCTCTCCAGGCCTTTCTGGCTAGACTGCACATCTCTCTGGAAGACCCACTGGGCTTTAATCCCTTGTTGGTTGTCCCTGTGAATGTGCTGCTAAGCTTCCTTCCAGCAGCAAGTGGGGGAGGAATGATATATTTCCTCCCCCACAGAAGTCCTCATCAAAGAGGAGAAAAATCAAAGCCTTTTTATTTCCTTTTAAAAAATAATTTTAAACCATGAAAATATATTTTAAAAAAGAGAATATACCCAGAAACACTGAGGCTCAGTATGTTAAGTATTTATCATGTGTGAGAAGAATAAATATATATAACTTACATTTGTAGGGTCTTCTACCCTTGACCCCAAGAATTCTCCTAGACTGTTTGTAGTGTTGATTCTGTGCTCACCCCATTCCCTTCCTAACCTGTTTCCCTTGCACTTGTAGTTGTTACCAGAAAGGAATCCATACTGCACTGTCAGAATCTGTTTCACTTTGTTGTGTGTTGAAAAAAAACAAAAACTACCCTAGCTCTTCATTTCATGAAATAAACTGTGAATATTTTTGGTGCAGGCTATTTAAAAATTTTTTAGTGGAGGAGTCTTAATTTTAAAGACACCTGTCCTATTAAGTAGTATTGCTGAGTTAAGTCAGTCATACGTCAGAAACTTTGGCTAGGCTCAGGGGAGCAGGCATGCAGACCTAAAAGTGTGGAGCCCTAGGTAGGCCCTTGATTGTTTTCTGTTGATAAACTTCCTCATTTTAACAAGGTCTCACAATCTTTCTCCCAAACAGCCAGGTGAGGGAAACATTCCTGGTTCAAACTTGTAAGACAGCCTCTGTGGGCTGTGCCTAGTGTCTGTGCAGTTCCTTCTTTGACTGGATGGTCCCTATGGCCAGGAACTTTCTTGGGGAGTAAAGTACACCTGTGTTAGTGCATGGTAACATGCTCCTTGTTGATAGGATACAACATGGGATAGTTATCAGAAATCACCACTAGGATGGTTCATGACTAGCAAGAAATGCCTTTAAAATTCAAAGTAAGTGTAGGCTCAGTACTGGGGGAAGAGTAAATTGGAATACAGCAGATCCCGTTTTTAACCTGGCCAACCCTAATGGGTCCTCCTAAATGCCAAATACCGAGGAGGGAGTGGGGACCTTAAGAGTCCTCACTGACAAGATGAATGGACTCTAAATGTAGTAAAGAATCTAAACTGAGTTCAGGACTGGTAGGGGTGTGGGGAGGGGGGGTGATTTTGATTCCTTGAACAAGAGCTTAAAAATTGCCAGATCTATGAATGTTCCCTACCAACCCCAGCTCTTCCTCCACCAGACTCCTGGGAGAGGGTGGTAACTCTTCGTTACAATAGAAGCTATTTGTACTGGCCTTTAAAGCCCCAGCTTCCTCTCCTGCCACTGAAATCTAAGGTTCTTCCCATTGTGATCATCTTTCAATGTTAATTAAGGTCACTGAAGCACCCAGGGGTTAGTGATCCAAAAATTCCTTTAGGTATTAAATCATTGCTTGCTGCTTCACGGCTGAAAAGCTGGAGAATGAGGAGATCCTGGGGGTGGATGGGTGGAGAAAGAGGTGATGAAAGATAAGTCTTTTGAATTTTCAAGCTAGAAATTAATGCATTAAAATGTATCAGGGATTCTTTACAAAGATAGTTGTAGGTGAACTTCCCAAGTGCTGTGACCCAGTAATAGAATAATTTTGGAGGGCAGCTTGAGAGAGTACCCTTTCATTTTGATACCCTTCACATTAGCAACACCTTTGGCAGAGATAAGGAGAGGACTTGGGTGAGTTAACTGTATGCTCTGATCTACTGCACTTTTTGTACAGGTTCCAATCCATGGCTTCCCTCTCAGAGGCTCTCGTTGGAACATTATGATCCTGACTCGAGACCCACCAGCCAAATGGCTGAAGTTGACTTTGTGATCTCTGCATTTCTAATTCCTGCTGGCTTGGGTGCTCTCTAAAGTGACACTTAAGAGGCTAGTAATGGGAAAGGGCCTTCGGTTCCTGCATACCTATTGGGTGGTGGAGTGATGGGGTTGGAGGGTTGTCTTATCACTTGTAATACAGTGCCAGGCCCCTGCCAGCTGTTCAGTGTTTTCTGACATTCCAGAGTTGTAGAACTAAGTGATGAATATATGTGGCTTTAATTGGATGTGCCTAATTATTCTTGACTAAGCTTCCTAGGGTCAGCCAGTCCAGAGGTTGCATTAGTGTGATAAATCTGCATAAGAATAGTTAATAGTTAAATCGCATTGTACACAAAAATTCATCTATGGTGCTATTTTCTTCATACAAGCACTGCCAAGGGATGAGCAAAAGGTGGGCAGGAGCTGGTGGTTTAAAAAAAAAAAATCCCAGTGCTTCCTGTTAGGGGCAAGAAACTTCATACAGAAAAAGCATTTTATTTAGGTTCAGATCATGTGGGCCAGGTGGAAGGAAAAACAAGCCTGCCCCTAAAGGTCTGCCCTCAACACCATTGGGGCCAGTACCAACTTGTCAAAGAACTTGGGGCATAGGATTGGAATTGGGACCTCCCTTCTTCCAGCCAATATGTTTCTCAAGATGTGGAGCCACTGAGCCCACAAAAGGGAGAGTCTACCTGTGCTTCTCCTACAGAACAGATTGGTGTATAATCAGAAAATGTATCTGCCACCTTCCTTTGCCAGAAAATGGGGCCCATCTCTCTTCCCCCTCCTGAATGAGCAGCCCAAAGTCAGTTTGTCTTTTATCTTTTAGACCAGGTGTGACCCATCATGGCTGAGAGGGATTATTTGGTGAAGGGCAAGGATGGGAAAAAAAGACTGGTATTGAACACAGCATGAGCATAAGAAGCTACTTTAAAAAGCACTCTGAGGAGAAATATTTGCTAGAAACATAAGGGAAAAAAAAACAAAACACTGTTTCCTGTTGTCATGTGGTACCTTCTCACAGTGCTTTCCTGTCCCCTACTTTGCTACTTAAGTAGGGATTTTAAGATGGGCATTGATGCCTCTGGGCCTTAAAGTCTGTTAGAGACCCCAACCCCCAAAGCCAAGTGAGACTTTGTAGCTTGCTAGAGGAAATGGTTTGGCCAAAGGCAGCTCTCACATGCATAGGTGGGGTGGGGTGGGGATGGGACTGGTCTGCACTTGGTGTTCTGGTGCTTACTATGTGTGCACGTGTGCTTGAGTGTGATTGGGTGGGGGGAGGGTGTTGCAGTGCGTGAAGAGGCACACAGAAGTTTGTCAAAGACCAACTTACTCATGACAGCTCTCTAGTTCTCACTAGGGTCTTGGCAAAGAACACATTAAAAGAAGCTGACAATAGATATATATATATATATATATATATATATATATATATATATACACATATATGTATGTATATATAGATATATATACACATACACATATTTTTAGGAGAGGGAGAAGGGGGGGGAAAGAGAGTCTTGGACCATTGCTTAGTTTCTTTTTGCTCCCCTTAGACTGTCGGCTGTCTGTAAGTGAAACGAAAAAAGGGGAGCCCTGCTCTAAGAGCCCCCATGATATGTACTGTAATTCTTTGTATATAGAAGAAAAAAATTACTGTAAAGTAAAGTTTAACTTTACTCTTACTGCCCTGGCCCTGTGTTTTGTCTTACTACATATGGGGTAACACTATAGCTAAGGCTGAGAAAAAGGAGGATGGGAGTATCCAGGGCTCAACAGACCAGTGCTGCTTGTGTTAGCATAGTCTTCCAGACTAGTGGCCGTGGTTTCTGCTTTGCCACAGTATGTGCCTCAGCATTAGACATCTAATAAGCATTTATTGAGGGTCTATGTCCAGCACTACGTTTGGCACTAGGAGACAGTTTGCATAACATGATTTCTGCCCTCTTGGAGCATATAGACTGGTAAATCCAAACTGCTGTCAGATTTAAAAGTACATCAGAGAGGTACAAACAACAGTGTTTGGTATTGAGAGAGGAAACTAGTGATCACAGAAAACTGAGCTAAGATGATATAGAGTCAGACTTTGAAGAATGAAGAGGAAGTCAACTTTGAGGAGTTGGTTTACAAAAAGGAAGCTATACCCATAGTACTTTCCAAGTGGGTAATTCATGTATGGACTCACTTCCTGAAGGTTTGCAGCCAAGGCTTACATACAGGTCAGGATTAAGAATTTGTGGCTGCTCAGTGGTGACCCCTCTCATCGTTGAAAAGGGCCTATAACATACTGTGCTGGCTCCATCTATTTCTCCCTAAATATGTGGACTTTTCAGCATAAGGGACTGAGCTTTATCCCACCTTCATCTGAACACCCCCCAGACTAGAAGTGTACAGCTCTTTATGACTGGCACTTAACCGTAACTAATATAACTGTGATACTTTCACTAAGTTCAGACTGAGTCAAATCTAAGGGCACCTTTTTACTCTGGTTTAAGGGGGGAAGGAGTTTTTTGAAGCTGCTAATAAGCACCTTCTCCCTGCAGGGAGAAGAGAACTTGAATGATCTGACAAGTTCTCATCTCCAGTTGCTTCAAAGAAAAATCTATGGATGTTTCTGGGTCAGTTTTCCCTCTAGATAATCCTAGGCCACAGAATTTACCACCAAGCCCATAAAAAAAGCCTGTCCTCTAGAAAAAGCTTGCACTAACTGGGCAGTCTTTGAAAACCTACAAGAAAAACAGATACCACAACAAGATGCTGAGAGTACAGACCCCCCCCCCAAACATCTCATCTCTAGACAGTTAACTTTAAAAATCAAATGAAAGTACTGCAGGGCCAAGTATTTGGTGGCAGCATTCCATGGGTACCACTGGCCTGGCCAAACCTGGAGTACTGGCATCCCTTTCTGTCCCTGGGTACCCTGTGGTGATCAGCTACATCCCCCAAAACCCAACCAGGCCAACTCTAGAGGCCCTTTCAATCAGCAGCTACCACACCATAGACAGAAACCCTCTAAGCCACTGCTGTTTCACTTACGAGAAAACTAGAGAAAGGAATTTTTCCATACAGATTCATTGGGCCAGTCACATCAGGGGACAAGTAGATACCCTGCTACCCAATCTGTATTCTAAGACTCAAGTAAGGAGAGGAAAAATCTTAAATAGTTTTTCCTTTCCACATTAACACATTCCTCCCTTCCCATGAAATAGTAAGGAAGTGGGCCAACTATCGGTGGGGGTGGGGTGGGGTGGGGGGCTTTATTTACAAGGCAGAAGCCACTTAAATTATGTGCAGAGATACAAGTGCTGCCCAGCAAATAGCAGAGAGCCCAGAGTCAGAACTGGCTTCTTGCCTTTTCAGTCTGCTACTGCCTCTGATCCTGGGCCAGCACAGGCGGGAGGTGTGCCCACCCCTTTCTGCCTCTGGAACTGGGTAGCTCAGACAGCCCCTTGAGCAGCAGAGAGCAGGCAAAGGTCCAGCAGGGTCCCTTCCAGGTGACAGAGTGACTCTCAGTGATGGCAGCAACTGTAGAAGAAGGTGTTGCCCTTCTGACCCAAGTCAACGCCTTTGTCCTCTGCAGAAAGATGGAAGCAAACATTAACTACTTATCATTAAGAGATGATAGAGGATCACCCTTCAAACCCTTATTCTAAAGTGCCTGGGTCTGAATCCTAGTTTGCCATTTCTTACCTACATGAGGCAAGTAATTTTGGGTCCCTGGGTCTCAGCTGCCTCTAAAATGGATCAGACCGCTGAAGGTCCTTTTTAGCATTGCATCACCATGATCGAAGAACTAGGCAAAAAAGGGAGGGCCAAAGTTTGGGAGCAGACCTCACCTGTCATCAGTTGGAAGGCAGCCACGCTGACATAATCTTCCGCCACCTTCTGGAACAGCTCGTCTAGGTAGGGAAAGGGGAGTGAAGTAAGAAGGCAAGGAAAATTAGCCATTGACTGGTTGGCTCTTCCCATTCTCACAAGCTAACACTGTCTCCTAAGGCCAGATTTTGCCCTCTGTATCTGATCCACTGTTCAGATACCCTGGATCCCTGATGAGCAGGACATCGTTTGCATTTCCTAACATTACATTTCCTTTCATCCAGTTCCTGGGCCACCGTCTGCCTTGCTACCTCCCCCTCCAACTCTCTTTCCTAAGTTTGGCTTTCCCCGACTGACTGAAACCAGGTATAGAGATTACCAGACGATACTTACCTACACTCTGGCCTGTCTTGCTAGATGTCTCAAAGAGCTGAGCTTTTATATCTGTAAATACATAGCTCAGAGTGAGCAAATATGGCCGGCTTGCCCGTGTCCTGCCCTTCCTGGGATGAGCACCCAGCAAGAGGATAAAAGGAGTAGGGCTGAAAGACTGCAGAAAAGCCAAGGAAACTGGAATTTCATGTGGTTCACCCCTACTCCCACTCACCCCTGCATGAGTTTTGCTTCCAGCCCTTCCAACCTCATGGAGATCTCCCCAGGGACACAGAGAACCACAACTATCTCAACAGGCACTCAAGAAAGTAGGGAACAAAAAACCTGCCACTTTTTGGGACCAGTCTTCTGTGGCTCCCTCCCACCCAGCACTTAAAGAATAGTAGATACCATCTGCATAATCTTGGACATCATGGAAGTCAACCCGGCGCAGTCTTCTATCTTCCTCCAGAAGGTCACTCTTGGTGCCACACAAGTAGATCTGACAGCTCTGCAGTGGGCATAAGTCAGGAGTCAATCACTACCAGAGTACTTCCACTGCCCAGCTCAGGATAATGACAATGATAATCATAATCATCAGAGATACCATTATTTCAGCAGTTTAAGGCTACAGAGTGCTTTCCCCACAGACACCTGTGCAGCAGGTATTACTACTCTCATCCCATAGATGAGGAAACTAAGCCTCACAGAGACAAAACGATTTGCCCTTAGTCACACAGGTAATAATTAGTGTGAGAATCAGCACTTGAAGTCAGGTCTTCTAACTCTAGTTGCCTTTCTCAAGAGATCCAAAGGTATAGTGGTTAGATTGCTGGGTGGAAGCACTAAGAAGACCTACTTTCAAATCCTGTCTTGGACATTTAGTAGTGTATAACCACATGCAAACCAACCTAAGTCTCAGTTTCCTGTTGTGTAGAATGGGAATAACACCTATGCTTTACAAGTTGGTGATGAGGTTTAAATGAGATAAAGCTCCTTGTAAGCCCTTAAATCATTCTAATATTATCAGCTGCTACATACTGCCTCTCAGGGCAAGCAAGGTCCTGACCTCTCCCTGTTGGTGGCTTTACAGAGTCATCAACGATCAGAAGCACTACTTAGCTCCCAGGTACACTTACCTCCTCTAAACTCTGAAGCTCCTTCACCCAGAATTTGGCTCGTTCAAAACTGCTGCTGTCAGTAAGATCTGGGAATAAAGGAGTGCAGAAAGGGATGAGGAAAGGCTGCTGAGCACTTCCAACTAAATCACTGCTCATAAAAGCCTGAAGCCCCTGGGCCCAAACTGGGGATGAAGATAACCTTACCATAGCAGACAATGGCTGCCTTGGCACCACGATAATAGATTCGACTCATGGCCTCATAACGCTCGGAGCCAGCTGTGTCCTATAGAGAATCAGATAAAAGCTCAACCCTGGCCCCTGGCTTGGGAATAACCTGGACAACGAACTTCCACTAACAATTCCCAGGGATTAGAGGGTCAATCAGAAAACCTTGAATTATTACAGATGTTCTCCAATCCTGATATTTCTCAGATGGATAAATGAAAGCATAGGAGGTGATCTGCTGAGATTTACCCAGCTTATTAAAGACAGAACAGAGGATCCCAAGCTGACTCTGCTCTCCAAGATGGCCCAACACCCTCATGCCCAGGTAGTACTGTACAGTTCACAGCCTTTTGGGTGGGGAAGCCTCCTTTGAAAGAAGTTATCTCAGGAAATAACTATCCCCTGAAAGGCCCTGCATCCAATGGGGCAAGTAAGTGTAGGTGTGTTCCTGTCACTTACCCAAATGCCTAGTGTCACTGTCCTGTCTCCCACAGACATCACCTTGGCCACAAATGCTGCCCCAATGGTCTGTATGTGGGAGGGAAGGAGACAGTCATCCCTCGTTTCCCAACTGCCCCCCTTCCACAACAACCACTCGTGCCTATACCACCCACTGCTGTCTACACAAGACTGTTTCACTTCCCTTTTTTTTTATAAACCCTCCCCCCCCCCCACAACACTAGGAGAGATGCCAGGCAAATGTCATTTTACCTGTTTTACAAAAAAAGAAACTGAGGTTCGGGGAGAGGAAGTGAATAGCAAATTCCCACAAGGGCTGAGTGGAGCTCAAAAATCGGGTTAACTGGCTGCCTGACAAGGGTGTTCTCCGCCAAGTTAACAACCAAGCCCTCGGCGCCTCCTTCCTCTTACAGCCTGGGCCCCCAATGTGTCCGGGTAGCCTCCTCCCGTTGCCCTTGTCCGCTCCCAGTCCAGGCCCTCCCAAGCCTGAGCCCCGGGGCGCGCCTCCACTCACATTCTGGTAGGGCCCCACCAAGAAGCGATCGTGCACGTATCTCTCCACGAGGCTCGTCTTGCCCACGTACTCCTTGCCCAGCATCACGACCTTCACGTCCACGCGCTGCCCGCTCATGCTCCCGGGGCCCAAGCCGGGCAGGTCCGAGGCGCGGCGGGGCGGGGCGCGGAGGTGCCGGGCGGGCGTACGAGACGCTTCACCTGCGCCGGACACGGCCCGCCTGAGCGCGTCGGCCCCAGCCCCGGCCCCTCGGCTCCCGCGCCAGCCCCGTCAGTCCGCGGGACCCCGGCCGGGGCCCCCGCTCGGCTTGTCTCCCCACGTTCGGCGCTCGCGGGCCCGGGGGCGCCCGATCAAGGAACCCCCCCCAACCACACACGCACGCCCACGCGTGGAGATCCCAGGCCGGAGTGCCGGTCGAGGGTGCTCCACCTCACGATCCCCCGCGAGCCTGGGAGAACTGGAGAGAGGGCGGTCTGCGTCCGCTTACCGGGGCCGCATGCTCCCGCTCCTTCTGCCGCGGCCGCGGCCACTCCGGGGCCCGTCCGGTCCCGGTGCCCGGAGACCCCAGCGCAGCAGCAACCAGCGGGGAGCCAGTTGTGGGGCGGGGAGAGGCCACGCGCATCACGTGACAGGGACACCGGAAATTCGCTCTGCGGAAGGGGCGGGGCCTGGGGGGGGTCGGGCTGCGGCCGGAAGTGCCGAGCGGCCGGACACCCCCTCATGGCGGCGGCGGCGACGGTGGTGGCGGTGGAGGCGGCGGCGACCGCGGCTTTGGGACGGTGACGGAGAGCGCGAGCCCGGCGACCCATCTCTCTCCTACCCCCCGATGCTTTGTGCCCCCTGACACTGTCCCGACCCCCACCCCCGCCGGGACGATGGTGAAGTATTTCCTGGGGCAGAGCGTGCTCCGGAGCTCCTGGGACCAAGTGTTTGCTGCCTTCTGGCAGCGTTACCCCAACCCCTACAGGTGAGGGCAGGAGAGCCCGGTCCCCACAACCCTACGGGCGAGGGCAGGAGGCTCCGCGTCCACTCCCTCTCTCAGCCCTCATAGAAGAGGGCGAGAGACCCTGAGGCCCCCTTTCCCCCAGCCACCTCTGGGGACGGCGAGAGCCTCCGGTACCCGCGGCGCTGTAGGTGGTGGCCGCAGACCTTTCTGCCTCCTTCCCCTTCCCCGTGGTAGGGGCAGGCACTCCCGGGAGAGACAAGCCCCCCACCCCGAGCACGTTGGAATCAAGTCCCAGGAGCCCGAGCCGGTGGGGGAGGGGCCGCTTACCTCTCAGGTACTGGGCACCTTCCCCGCGGGGCGCCTCCTCCCGAGTGGCATCTGGAGGGAGTCACACGGGGCGCCTTGGCCGGCTTGGCCGGCGGGTCACCGGGCTTGGAATTTGCCCTGGGCCCCACCCTGACCTGCTCCGGGATTGGAAGTGGGGCAGGACTCCTGTCTGGGAACACCTTCCCTGTGAAGCCTGAGCTTTAGTTTCCTCTTTTTCTGCCCCTTCCTTCGCCCAGACAGGATGACTTGAGCATTGAGTTGACTTCCTTTTTTTTTTTTATTTCTTAAAATATTCTGAACTTAACAAATAGCAAATAGCGTGTTGTAGAAGCACAGGGAGGGGATTGGATGGCCAAATAGGATGGCTTGAGGAACCTTGAATTGACTTCCTTTTTTTTTTTTTAATATTCTGAACTAAATAAACACCAAATAAGATCTGTATTTTTATTTCACTTACATTGTAGAAACGGGGGAGGGAATTGAACATAAAATTGAATGTCTTATGGAGGGTGGTGCTTTTCTTTTTAGGTACCTAATAAATTTATCGTGTAGCTTTCCAAGCTGACCTCCTGTGTTGCATGTTTCCCATACAGCAAGCATGTGCTGACGGAGGATATTGTGCACCGGGAGGTGACTCCAGATCAGAAGCTGCTGTCCAGGCGGCTTCTTACAAAGACCAACAGGATGCCCCGCTGGGCAGAGCGCTTCTTTCCCGCTAATGTAGCTCACTCAGTGTACATCCTCGAGGACTCTATCGTGGACCCACAGAACCAGACCATGACCACTTTCACCTGGAACATCAACCATGCCCGGCTGATGGTTAGTGCCTCTTTAGCACACTCATTTAGAGGTGTCACAGAAAAGAGGGGAAGCAGCATGGTTCAGAAAGATGAGGGAAAAGTAGTTTGTGATTCTTGACCTGCCATTACTCTACTGTGTGACATTTGGTAAGTCACTTTTATCTCTTCTAGGCCATAGTAAACTGAGACTGATAGATTTAATGACTTCTAAAGGTCTTTCTGCTTCCAGTAGACTGAGTATTAGGCAAGTCACTTCACCTCTATTTGCCTCAGTTTCTTCCTCTGCAAAATGAGGATAATAATATCACCTGCCTTTCAGGGTTGTTGTGTGAGGGTCAAAGGAAATAATAATTGTAAAAGCACTTAGCACATAGTAAGCACCATATAAATATTAGCTATTATTGTAGAGTGGTGATAAAGGCTCCTTTTTCTGATATCTGGCTCTAGGCCTGGTAGAATCTTGTTCCTCCTTCTAAATTACTGAAGACTTGTGATCATTTTGTTCTAGGTGGTGGAGGAAAGATGTGTTTACTGTGTGAACCCTGAAAACAGTGGCTGGACTGAAATCCGAAGGGAGGCCTGGGTCTCTTCCAGTTTGTTTGGGGTCTCCAGAGCTGTACAGGTAACACGGCACTTTGGTGAAGTGCTGAAGGTGGTGGCAGTGGGGGTAGAATCTTTAATTCTTCTATAGCTCTGAGCATCCTGAATTGGCCTTGGGCATGGGCAGTGACTTGAAGGGCTAACAGGCAACTAACTCTTCCTGTCCTATCCCATCTCATCCTTTCAGGAGTTTGGCTTAGCTCGATTCAAAAGTAACGTGACCAACCATCAAAGGCTTTGAGTACATCTTGGCCAAACTGCAAGGTAAGAACCAAGGGATTTGAGTTTGGGGAGGAACAGAGGATGTAGGTGCTGGCACTAAGTATGAACACTCCAAGAAAAAAGTTTGCAACACCCCTTAGTTGTCATGTTCTCTCTTTCTAACCCCCCCCAAGAGTGTTGAATGAGGAGTTACATGGTTTGAATCTTGTCTCTACCATTTAATACCTTCGTGACCTTGGTTAGGTAACATAACCTTTCTTGACCTCAGTTTTTTCATCAGTAAAATTACAGATTTGGAAAAAGATGGATTAACATTCCTTCTAGCATTCAAGCTATCATTGGAAATGAGACTGGTACTTAAGCCCTGTCCTTCACACTTCTGGCACCAACCACTCTCTAGTGTGAAGCTGCAGAAGAGCTTGAATCAGATGAAAGACCCAAACATAGTTTTGTGTGGGGTGGTGGAAGGATCGATGGACTTGGAGTCAGAAGTCCTCAGTTCACATTCTTTATATTACCATAGTAAGCTCTGTGTTCTTGAGCAAGGCACTTATTCTCTCTGAACCTCTCTTTATAAATCGCTAGATTGGATCTTCGTTGTACCTTCTAACTGATACTCTGAGATTCTCTTTTTGCAGGTGAGGCTCCTTCTAAGACACTTGTTGAAACAGCTAAGGAAGCAACTGAGAAAGCGAAGGAAACTGCTCTGGCAGCTACTGAGAAGGCCAAGGACCTGGCCAGCAAGGCAGCCACCAAGAAGCAGCAGCAGCAACAGCAACAGTATGTTTAAAGGAGTCACCCTACTGCTTCCCCTGCAACAAAAAGGCCCTGCTGCCTTCCCAGATCGCCAGTCTCCAAGCCTGAGAAGCCTCTTGGCAAGACCTGGCATTGGGCCCGGAGCCCCAGCCCCTGAGCAGACCATCAGCACAGTGCAATCCCAGAGACAATCCAGCTCTTGCCCCATTACCTGCCCTGTGTCCGAGTTGTAATTTATCATTAAAAATCAATTTTCAGTGCTGTCCTTGGCTTGTAGAGGTTTCTGAGCCTTGGGGGTATTAAGTAATCCTGCTGGGTTTATAATGAAGTTTCCCAGCCATCAGCCTTGAACCATGCTAGTGACTGTGGCTTACCCTTTCTTTGTAGTCATGAAGAAATGAGATGGTCTACAGGCAGAATTAAGAAAAAGGTTTTTACTGAAAATACTGTGTGGTGTCTGTGGAACTAGAGCCAGGGTCTGAGTACAGCTCCGTCCCACTTTAAAGCTACTGGTCCCTTGGGTGCTGGGCACAAACCAGCTTAGCACAAGATTTGCATCCCAGCCCTGAAAGGAACAAAAATCAATGCTGTAAAAAATGTACCAAAAAAAAAAAAAAGGTCTAGGCAGGGAGCAACAGACTGCCTCCATGTCAGCCCCTCGTCAGAGGCTTCTGGTTGCCTTCCATAACCTCTGACAGGGAACGAGGTTGCATTGCTTGTTTAGTTCCATATTAGGGCCATGGCTCACTCCTGTTTCCCCCCACAAAACGGAGTAAGCTTCAGTCCATGCCCACATAAGAGAGAAGGGGTGGAGCTGAGGCTAGTTAAAATGGCTCCAGGAGCCAGCAGCAGCCTCTGCAGTCCAATAATTTTCTGCTTTGCAGGAATGGCCAGTATCATGAGGGATGCAAGCTGGAACCCACTTTAGTCAACCATCATCAGGTCTGTGGCAGCTTCTCTGGCAGGCTGGGCAGCTTGGTGCAGCCAGGAGAGTGGGAGAGCTATGTGCCTGCTGTGGGCAGCAGGGATCATAGCCAAGCACTACCACTATGAGAGTAGCTGTGCTCCTGGCCTGTGCTGAAGCCTCGAAGCAGCTCAGCACCACCCCCAAACACCAGGCTCTCCACATCTACCTCCAGCTCCTCTGTGGAGAGACCAAAGAAAAATCAGGTCTAAGGTCACTGAGAAAGGAAGAAGTCTTAAGGAGATAGAGGGCGGGCCAGGACACTTAAGTGATGAGATGGAAGGGTGCTGGATACGCTTGCTGGCCCCAGTAGAGGCTATGACAGTGGCCCAGACCTTCTGGGGTCCACTGCTTCCCACTTAGCAGGAAGATCGTTAGGGTTCACATTGACACCCTAATTCTGACCAGGACGGTGGGGAATGTTACTCACCTTGATCAGTATCAGAGCGCTCTGAAGAGAGGCCAGAGGAGTCCAGGCTATCTACTCGAAGACGCTCCCGCTCCCCAGCTGGTCCTCGGAGCTGTTCTAGCCGTTCGCGCAGGCTTCGCTGTTCACTTCGGAGCCTGTCCTTGAGCCTTCGTGCGCGCTGCTCCTGTTCTTCCAGCTTCTGCAGTCACAAGAAGCAACGAGTCAGCCCTCAGTGCCTGGCCAGTGGCGGTAGCTCTTCCAGTCCTAAGCCCTACCACACCCTGTTTTGTCCAAATCATACCCCAGCCTGTGGCTAAGCCCCATACCCTGGCATCCTGAAAGCTGCTGCTTTCAGACCTAGAAGGTCCCAACTTGCATTCATGTGAAGGTGAGGTGACGGGGAAGACAAGCTGAGGATCACTGTATCTCCATCCACCCCAGGTTGATTCTTTAAGTCATTCTGCATGAGCTGATTGAGCTTCAACCTTTCAGGCCACCTGTGGCAGCAAGGCCTCTGAAGTAACATTCTTCCCCCTAGGCAGGATCTATACTACTCTTCATAGGCAAATTGGGGTGGAACAAGGCAGAGCCTGGCTTGAACCCAATCCTGGCAGATAGCCCTACTACTATAGACCCCTGCCCCTGACAAACTTTCCCGGTAAGTCTTAGAGATTTGGGGTAGGGTAGTATGAGGAGCTTCTGTCCATGTTCATCTCCCCTGCCAGGAACTGCTAAGAAGGCCAGTGGGTGCAGCCCCATAGTTCTATGTGTTTCTGAGAGTGAAGGACAGATAGGAAGACAGCAAACGTTTAAGTCATGTTTCGCTAGCTTGTCATCCCTGAGGCCTTCCGATACCTGATTTCTCCCATATGGTGAGGTGGATTCAATTTTGTGACAGGGAGGCTAGGGCATGTATGAGCTAAGGCTACAGGAAATCAATGGAGGCAGGAAAGTACAGGAGGGGTTAGATGAGGCAAAGTAGTGGAAAGGTAAGAGTATTTGGCAGGAGGCCCCTTTCTGGTATGTGAAACTGAGCAAAGTATGTCCTTTACATTTCTGGACCTCATCTGTAAAATAAGGATGTTGCATGAGTTCTCTGACAACCAGTGAATCTGAGCCCATTTTGTTCACATCAGGTGAACTTTCTGAGGGTGATTGCAGTAGGTTTGGGAAGCTCAGGCTAACACACTTTAGTTAAAGGAGCAGTCGTAGCTTTAAAGTTATTAAAGCTATCACAAGACAAATATTATGTGAGCTGGTAGCCTTCTCCCAACACTCCCAACATTTTTAGTACTCATTGGTTTTCCAGGTTTTCTGGGGCTAAAGCACTCCCCAAAAAGGCCTAGACTAGGTTGTCTTTCCAGATGTCAAAAGTCCACTGGGGCCCAACTCCTCCGTGAAACTCCCTCCCCAGAGCAACCTGCCTGATCCTCTCCCTCCTTGGTGATTCTGTAGCAATTATTTCTTCATTTGTGTTGGTCTTGCTGCACTGCTGCCCCCCAAAGTTTGAAAGCTCCTTGAAGGTAGGGACTTTGTCTTGTTCCTATGTCATATTCCCCATGGGGCTGGGCACATAGATGGACCCCAATGGAGGCAGATGATTTAAGGACTTGCGCTGTCTTGTGACTAGACAAAAGGAGCCCCAAAGACTGTATAGGTAGAACCAGGAAGAATGAGATGGGCATCCAGAGTGCCGCTCAGTTTTCCTAATCCTTAAGAGCAATGTTTTGTACATACTATAGTAAATGCTGAATAAATACCTATTGAGGGGCAGCTAGGTGGTGCAGTGGATAAAGCACCAGCCCTGAATTCAGAAGGACGTGAGTTCAAATCCGGCCTCAGACACAAACACTTACTAGCTGTGTGACCCTGGGCAAGTCACTTAACCCCATTGCCTAGCCAAAAAAACAAAACAAAACAAAAAAGACCAAAAAAAAATCTATTGAATTAAGATTCACCAAGCAATCAATAATTCTTATATTTGGTGCCTGATTTGTACTTATGCTGCTATGGGCAATGTGGAGGAGAGAGCAGGACATTAGTAGATAGTCCTGACTTCCAGCCACCTACAGTGTACACCTTCAGTGTAACTAAGAAAAAAAAAACCATGAGAAAAAGAGTTTATGAGAAAAAAAGGAAACATAAGGCGTGTTTATTTTATAAAAGTGTTCAGTTGCATGCTTCAAGCTAATATGATAGTTCAGAAGAGAAAGATGAATAGGCTAGGCTAGGAGGACTAGGTGAGGTTTCTTGGAGGGAGCAGAACTTTAGCTGAGTCTTTTGAAGATGAGTAAGATTTAGCTGGGCAGAGAGAGAATTCCAGACAAAGGAATCAACATAGTGAGTTCTTAGAATGTTGTATTGTAGAGACCTGCCTAGCAGAAGCCAAGGTGGGTTATAAAGGAGGAGGAGAAGGGGAGATTAAGGAAGTGGTTTGAAGCCACATTGGGGTGGGTGAACGGGTGGGGACTTTATAAACCCAGACTGAGAGATTTGCACTTGATGAAAATAGGGAGCAGGGACCAGCTCAAGATTACCAAGCAAGGGGAATGAGGCTGTCAAATGTGGGCTTACTCTGTAAAATCTGGTATCCCATAGCATGAACTTTCTCTGGGCAGGCAAGCAGGCAGCCCTCCTCATATATACTCATCCCTCCTAAAGTGTTAATTGATAACTAATAAATGAGTTAATAAGATAAGACCTTGGATTTCAGTGAAGGAATCTTGTATCCCTCTTAGAATGTGAGATCATCTAGCCCAAACATCATTTTGGAGGGAAAAATGGGGTGCCTAGAAGGGAAGTCCCTTACTCAAGATCACAAAGAGAAATGCCAGGTCTCCTGACTCATCACTATCAAATGTACTATCAGAAACCGCTGGCTTTGTAAGTGTAACCCTACTTTGGTGCTTATGTATTTTTGAAAAGTTATTGTAAGAAAGCGTGGGGTGCCAGAAAGAACAGAGGACTGAAGTGGGGCAGATGTTTAAAAAGTTCCCGTGTCAGATATGAGTGGAGCCAAGGTGGCAGAGTACAGGCCAACACCCAGCTGAGTTTTCCCAAACAACTTTAAAATAATACCTCAAATCAAATTTTAGAGCAGCAGAGCCAACAAAAGGCCAAAGGGAGGCATTTATGCGGTCTAAGCCAACTCAGGAGGTCTGCAGAAGAGGTTTATAACACCAGGGTAGGCACAGGCCCTGAGAACAGCAGCTGCCTTGGAGGCAGCCAGCACAGCAGCAGCTTCAGGAGCTCCCAGCCCAGAGCCAGAAGCCAGTCAGAAAGAGATTGCAGGGGACTCTTTGCTGGCGCTGGGTGTGGCTAGCACTGATTGGCAACTCTATTGCCCATTTGCAGTTGTGGGTCAAAGTTCCAGTGTGGAGAGGAGTGCTTGTGATCGGTCACAAGGGAGCAAGGAATATGGTCACAGTTCCAGGGCCAAGAGGAACGCTAGTACTTGCAGCTGCAGGGAAGCAGCTCTTCCTGAGTAAAGAGCATAGTGCAGGCCAGGAGAGCAGTGACCACACCTCTCCCAGGTTAACACCCATCATGAAAACATTGAAAACTTGCAGAATCCCAGAACTAGCTCTGAAAACAGCAGCAGAAAAAAGCCTGAGGCTTAGTACAATGCCTCCCCAGCCCTCCGTGAGCAGAACCCAACCTTAACATAAAGTCCAAAGTCAAGAAATAGGCTGGAAAAATGAGCAAACAGCAACAACAAAATATGACTATAAAAACTTATTACAGTAGCGGGGAAAAACAAGATATAAACTCAGAAGGGGATAACAACAACTACAAACAAAGGCTCAAAGAAAAACGCTGATTGGACCCAAGGCCAGCAGGAATTCCTGGGAGAGTTAAAGAAAGAGATGAGAATGGTGGAGGAAAAATTGGGGAAAGAAATGAGAGTGATGCAAGAAAATTATTAAAAGAATTAACAGCTTGGAAAAAGAGGCACAAAAAATATTGAAGAAAATAGTACCTTAAAAACAGAATTGGCCTAATGGTAAAAGAGGTACAAAAATTCCATGAAGAAAAGAACTCCTTTAAAAGCGGAATTGGACCCATTCCTATTAAAACACTAGAGAGCATAGGAATAAATAGAGTCTTCCTTAAAATGATAAGTAGCATCTACCTGAAACCTTCAGCAAGCATTATATGTAATGGGGATAAGCTAGAAGTATTTCCAATTCCAGGGGTGAAACAAGGATGTCCACTATCACCACTGTTGTTCAATATGGTACTAGAAATGTTAGCTTTAGCAATAACAGAAGAAAAAGAAGTTGAAGGTATTAGAACAGACAAAGAAGAAACAAAGCTATCACTCTTTACAGATGATATGGTGATATACTTAGAGAATCCTAGAGAATCAAGTAAAAAACGACTTGAAATAATAGACAACTTTAGCGAAGTTGCAGGGTATAAAACAAACCCACATAAATCATCGGTATTTCTGTATATTACCAACAAAGCCCAACAGCATGAGATAGAAAGAGAAATTCCATTTAAAGTTACTATAGACATTATAAAATATTTGAGAGTCTACCTGCCAAAACAAACCCAGGAACAAACACAATTACAAAATACTTTTGACACAAATAAAGTCAGATCTAAATAATTGGAAAAACATCAGTTGCTCATGGGTAGGCTGAGCTAATATAATAAAAATGACAATTCTACCTGAGCTACTTTACTTATTCAGTGCCATACCAAACAAACTACCAAAAAATTATTTTGTAAAGTTAGAAAAAATAATAACAAGATTAATTTGGAAAAACAAAAGGTCCAGAATATCAAGGGAACTAATGAAAAGAAATGCAGGGGAAGGTGGCCTAGCCATTCCAGATCTTAAATTGTATTATAAAGCAGCAATCATCAAAACTACATGGTACTGGCTAAGAAACAGACAGAGTGGTAGATCAGTGGAACAGGTTAGGTATGCAAGACACAGTACTCAATGACTATAGTAATCTACTATTTGATAAACCCAAAGACCCCAGCTTCTGGGATAAGAACTCACCATTTGATAAAAACTGCCGGGAAAACTGGAAACGAAACTAGGCATAGACCAAAATCTCTTACCATATTCCAAAATAAAGTCCAAATGGATACACGATTTAGATATAAAGGCTGATACTATAAAGTAAACTGGGAGAGCAAGAAATAGTTTACTTGTCAGGTCTATGGAGGACAGAAGAATTT